ACATTCTTCAATAAAATAATATTTTCCATCACATCAATAATTTTTTCTTCTTTTTCAACCACACATTTCCCATCATATCACTATTCAAAATCAATTATTCCCCCAAAAATCCCTCCCAAACAAGCACTATATTTCTAATAAGTCATAAATATAATAGATGTCTGATAATATTTCAATATTTTGGCTAAACGAAAGTCACTTTGTTGAAAAATTTAGCATGAACCACGTCGAGCAGTCTGAAAATATCTTTTAACTTAGCATGACTAGAGTGTCGTCTCGAATGTATTAATGTATATGGCCAATTATATGTCAAAACTTGAACTTTAAATACAAGTCAGATCAAACCCATTTCACAATCAAAATCAACGAGTTCAAATCAAAATTTTATCAATCGCGCTAGGCGCATAGAGGTTACTTTACAAAGGCTTCACGTGGTGGTAGTAATTTTTTTTTTTTTTAATTTAGAAAAGGAAGAAATAAAAGGCTCATTTTCAACATGTCAATTTTCGAAATAACTATGGAATGGCAAACGAAGTCAAAATATTGCACTTTTAGAGTTTGTTTGGGAGAGATTTTTGGAGGAAGAATTGATTTTGAATAGTGATATGATAAGAAATGTGTGGTTGAAAAAGAAGAAAAAATTATTCATGTGATAGAAAATATTATTTTATTGAAGAATGTGTGGTTGAAAATGAGAATTGATTTACTGTAGAAAAATTTAATCCCTTCCAAACATGGCCTTAATATCATTTTGAAGTGCTCAAAGCCAAGTTTTTCATGTCGTTAACAGTACATGAAATGACCAATCATAACAAACGTTACGGTACATCAAAATAGATCATTCCAAATTAATATTTTGAGAATTTCAATAATATGTTAACTTTAAAAATTCTTTGATAATTGTACACTAGTCGAAGCTCGTTCCGAGAATACATTATAAACATATCGAATGGTTTAAATGAACATTGAAACTAGTCAAACGTGCGTACAACTCTTATTTTCTTTAATTTTTTTCAATTATTTTATTAACATTTATTATTTTTGCGCGAAAAACTTTTCAATATAATTTACATCATTTTTTATAATTTTTACGCGGGATATGAGGTCAAAAATTTCGAATGTAAAAATTTTATTAGAAAGTTTAGCCCCTGTTTGGCACCCATTATTTTGCATTTTGGGGGGTTGAAAATTTTTAGAATGATGATTGATGGGAGAATGTGTGGTTGAAATTTTTTTGATTTGTGTGTAATATTATTTTATTTAATGAATGTGTGGTTGAAATGAAGAGAGGGAAAAATTTAATATAATGTAATGTAATTTAATTTAATTGGGGCCAAACAAGGGCTTAGGAAAACAATTCATACCCCTATGTAAACTCCATGTAAAATTTTCTAATAAAATTAAAATTTAATATAATGTAATGTAATTTAATTTAATTGGGGCCAAACAAGTGCTTAGGAAAACAATTCATACCCCTATGTATACTCCATGTAAAATTTTCTTATAAAATGATGTAGATATATCGAGAGATTTGTTGCGCAAAAATAATAAACAAAATAATTTTAAAATTTTAAAGAAAAGAAGAGTTATAAGCCTATTTTTAACATGCACGATTAGCATTTTGATATGTCTATAATGTAATTCTCGAAACGAGTTTCGAGATGACGTTGGCGATTTATGGATTCGACTACCGTACGATTGTCGAAAAAAATTAAAGTTAGCATGTTATCGAAATTCTCGAAATACTAGTTTGAAATTGCCTATTTCGACGTACTGTAACATTTGTTACGATTGGTTATTTCGAGCACCATTAACAATGTAAAACACTAGGCTTTGGGCATTTTGAAATGGTGTTAAAAAATGCAATATTTAGATTTCTTTTAATATTCCGTAATGATCCCCTAAATTTAAGACAAAGCATTAAAAATGTAATGAATTTATAGATATTTTGGACCGTGAGCAACTCACTTCTCTTTTCTTTAAGAAATTCTCGAACTCGTCACCTCTTTAATTTCACGCCACATTAGTAAATTCAAATCCCTATACTTTTCGTGTGAACCCTTCTGTACACTTAACATTATTCAAATTTTATTTTTAAACTATAGATTTAATCTCGACTAGATTAAGAAAAAATGAGTTTTGAATAGTATTTTTAATAAAATGTGTGATTAAAAAATAGAAAAAAATTAAATTTTACATATAAAATATTTTATCTAAAATGACCCGCAGTGAAGAGTAAAATAAATTAATGGCCTCGAACAAAAGCTAACTCAGTCAATTCACGTCTATACTGTCGCCACTCGGCGCTCGTTCTTATTAATCAGAACATTTCTCCCCCTCTCTCTACCTCAAGACATTGATTTCTCCGTGAAGATATTCGCTGTATCTAAATAAGGTTAGCTTTCTGATCCGCCTCTGTTCTCTATCTTTAATTTTTTCTTCTTGGCTAATCTTTCAAATACCTTTTTTTTTTTCTGATAAGTTTTGGTTTATGTTTTTGTGTTTATAATTATTTTATTGACGCTGAATGAAAAATCTGAGGAAGTTGTTGTTGTTGTTGTCGTTGTTATTATTATTATTATTTTGGCTATTTGTTAGTCTATTTAATGAAATTGAGCTTGATATTTCCTGGAATTTTTGCTTATTGTTTGTACAGCATTATTGATTCTCTGCTAAAAGGGGTATATTCCTTCGAAAATTTACATATTTGGATAATCAGGCATTTCATGTGAAGACCTTTTCATTTCAGAACTTCAGATCTCTGAAAGATTTCGGTATTCTGACTGTAGCAATAACATTTATGGTCAATTATCTAATATGTTCTTTATATTAAGGGTTAATCCATTCGTAAATAATGGTTTGTACATAATGGATTACCCCC